AGTTCGTAGTCCATCTCACTACCCGTTCGTCTTACACGTTGCAACACACTAGCAAGAAAAATATTTATGTAGAATAGAAGGGTTGTTGACATAAAAGTCATTAGGGCTTTTCCTGTGAATGTAGAAGGATTTTCACAGAATCAGTATTGATCAGGAGATTTGGATAGCCAGTGCCAAAAAAAATTAAAAAAAAATAAAAATTAAAAAGCTTGTAACAAACACTTGATTTTTATTTCTCCTTTGAAAACACACTTTACTGGCAGACGCAATCTGAGCTTTAAAGAAAATTAGTACCTAGATAACTGTAGCAGTTGACTACATACATATGCAAGGCAAGCTCTTTCAGATTTGAACCTTCAAATAATTTGTTCTTTAACTATTAAGAAGGACTTGGAATGTATTTTAAGTCTGTTTTGCTTTCTTCCACCTTAAATTCTTAAGAATTAATTGGTTTTAATGCACTTTTTCCTCAGTGCTAACCACAAGACTATCTACTCCTTACCTGTTTCCAAAACACTTTCCAAGTATTTGCAACATTCCCTGAACCTGAATACATTCCAGATCTTTTGAATTGTGTAATTAAGTGAATGATTGGATATTAAGAGTAGTATTTTACAAATCAGATTTTAGAATACTTGGAAGTATGTATGTATATTTGGTCCAACTTGCTATAGTATCATAACCAAATTTTCCAGGGAACTTTTTCTTCTCAAAGACAGGCTTTACATATGTGAGGAGACCAGATTTAGATAATTTCTTGTATGCTTTTTTTGGTGAAAGGAGAATGTGTCGCTGAATCTGGTACTAAAACTCTGTAAACACTTCATAATGTCTTCTAAATTAAAACGTAAGAGTTTAACCTGCATCTTTGCCAAAGAAGATTCTTTACCAAAAGTTGATATTAGAGGATAATAACAATGTATGACAGTGCATTTATAGGGAACTGAAATGAAAATTGAAAGAGAGACTTCTTTCTCTTAAGTGGAAGAATCTTAAGTGTAAGTATAAGCCAATCTATTAATTCCCATTTGGTTTTTTTCCCTCTTTCGGCAGTTCTTTCAAGACTCACAAAATTGAAAATAAAATAGGTGAAATCTGTAAGGAATTCTTAATGCAAACTTGGAAATAAAGACATTAGTTTAAAGGCTTAGGATTTCCAGAATAAAAGCCGTATCAGATGTGATCATTACTTAGACAATTCCTCATTAGAATACAAAACACAAGTTTATCTAAACTAGTCAAAAATAAGACAAGCTGAGAAAGAAGGTGTGCTTAGCTTCCAGTTCTCCAGCACAGGACACCATCACTCCAAACAACCTCCCTTTCCTTCTTCCTGCAGCTTTATATGCTGAGCATGATATCGCCTTGGTCAGTAGTGTAGAGAGGGAGGATAACCTCCTGGCCTGTACAGGCCACAGTTTTTCCTAATGCACCCCAGGATGCCATTGGCCTTCTTGATGACAAGGGCACATTACTGGCTCATGGTCATCCTGCTGTCCACCAGGATCCCCAGGTCCTTTTTCCCTAAGCTGCTCTCCAGCAGGTCAGCCCCCATGCTGTACTGATCCATGAGGTTGTTCTTGCCAGAAGCAGTGCTCTACACTTGCCCTGCTTGAATTCTGTTAGGTTTCTCCCTGCCCAACTCTCCAGCCTGTCCAAGTTTCCCCAAATAGCAGCACAGCCTTCTGGAGTGTCAGCCACTCCTCCCAGCTTTGTATCATCAGCAAATCTGCTAAGGCTACATTCTGTCCCATCATCCAGGTCATTGATTAATGTACTGAACAGAGCTGAACCTAGTACTGACCCCTGAGGAGCACCACTAGACACGGTCCTCCGACTAGACTCTGCCTTACTGACCACAACTCTGAGTTCTGCCCTTCAGCCAGTTCCCAGTCCACCTCACTATCATCACTTACTATCATCTTAGAAGTGATGTTTTTGTTGCAGTGGCATGTGTGCACTGAAACTTTGAAAAATGTGTGTGGGAAGAGGGAAGTTTAGTTTGTCTGCCTTTCTGCTATGGAGACCCAGTGCCTTTTTCTGCTGGTGGCTTTAATTCAATTATCCGCAGATGTTTTCTGCAACTTAGATGTAAATCTTCATGTCAAAACATTTACTTCTCTTGCCAATCAAAGTGATATTTTTGCCTTAAAAAACTGTAGACAGTCTGTAAATTGTTCTACAACTGTACTTTCTAGAAGCATGGCACTTGTTAGGTGCTTATCTGAACTAAACTAATTTTCTACATACCCTGTATTGAAAACTTCTGACTGTTTTGTATGAATTTTAATGAAGTTTCTGCAGTTGTCTTCCATATTGAAAAATTCCATTAATATCTACCAAAGTACCCTATTTTTGTGTTACAGATGATTCACCTCCTGCAGAACGGGAACCAGGTGAAGTTGTGGACAGCCTGGTAGGCAAACAAGTGGAATATGCCAAAGAAGATGGCTCAAAAAGGACTGGCATGGTCATTCATCAGGTTGAAGCCAAACCATCAGTCTATTTCATCAAGTTTGATGATGATTTCCATATTTATGTCTACGATTTGGTGAAGACATCCTAGACATCCTTGTGAACTTTTGCCAAATTTGTGGAACTATTAAATGTATAATTTGTAGACACAAAGACTTGACTGCTTTCCAGTTTAATGAAAGCTTAAACGTCCCTGCGAACCCACAATCTCTGCCAGCAAAACTGTTTTGTTCTGACTGATACAAACAACAGTGACACACTTGTGTAAGAGAACTCCTTTTCTTGAAGGAAGTCAATATATTTGGGCAGGAGGGAGTTAAAAACAGAGAACAGCTGCAAATTCAAGCTGTATAAAGTTGATCTAGTATTGTAATCAATTAATCTAAATTTTTTCATAGATTATAACTTTTTCTTCAACCTTGCACTCACCTGTTCAATTGCCACATGCAAGTGTAGTTTGATATTTTTATATGCCTTCTTCTGTAACATTAAATTTAATTTCTTGGTTACTAGCAGTCCTTGTTTTCAAGGTTGGGACAGAGGTGACTTTTCTGAAAGGTTTTAACAGTTTGTGCAGCATTGAGGAGTGCCTAACCCACATAACATCAATCTGCTGTGTTTCTACACCTTATTTCAAATTAAGCTTTTCAAGAATTTGCAGTACATGGAAATACTTGTGCATTTTTAGTAGTCAGAGCAGTAGGATATCAAGTGTTTGACTTATGCACCTTTCAGTGAAAAGGCTTTAAACTATAAAAATATATCTAATCTGTATAACCAGTTACTTAGAATATACAGGTTAATGGCCCATATTTTCAAGTTGTAGGAACCAGTAAAATCCACGCAACAAGGCTGCCTTCAGTCCTAAATGTACTTCTTTATTTCTTGTACACACTTCTTAGCAAAACCCAAGTGCTTGGTGCCACAACTTTTAACAGTATATATGCTACTTCAGAAACTTTAGACTACGCATTGGCAATGAGTAGTCTCTCATTTAATATCGAAACCTAGCAACCTGAATGTTTGTGTGTGGACTTAGAAGCCTAAAGGTAGTTAATATTTTACATGGTAAATACAATCTGATGCCGGGAGGGTGGGAGGTGGGTGTCCTTTTACACTGAAAACTTATGAGAAGCATTTGTTGCCTTCTGCTCAGTCTGTTGCATTTCTTTATATGTATGTTTGGTTCGTTTTTAACCATTTTAGTTTAAGAAGGCATCTTCCCCACTTAGTCTTTTTCTGGCTTTTCCACATAAGGTGTGTCCAGACAAATCTACAGCTTAAACCTGTTGTTGCCTTTTGTGATGTACATTGTACTTGCTTTGAGGTATGCTGTTAACGTAAATTTCATTCTATGAACACTAGAGTTCTGCATGCCAGTGGTGTACTAGCTAATGGAAGCTATAGGCAGTCTCAGTGATTCGATCATCTGCATTAGATTGTGGATGTAAATAGCAGCCGACAACACCAAAATCCTTTTATGGTTTTAATCTTGCAAGAGAGTTGTAAATGAAGATTAGGATTTTTTAAGTGTGGCAGCTTTTTAAAAGTATCTGAATTGCAACAATCATCAGCACAGCAACTAAATTGTCATGTTACATTAAGGCAGAGCTCTGCAAGTTTCAAAGAGCTGCTTTCACAGATATACAGTATGTGAAGACAGTCAACACTGTTGATGAAAGGAACAAATACTCTGATAACCAACAGTATGCCATTAGTATAAGGATGCAGGAGAGGTGCTGTTAAACAGAGATCAGAGGTCCGGATGACCTCTACTGTGGGTATTCTTGATACTGAAGGCTCAGTGGTTTAAGCCCCTTTCTGTCCATTTTTTTGCCTGATTTCATATTTTAGCCTTAAGGCTTATGCCTCATTATACTGTTGAATGGTAATAAATACTCTCCATATAAATAAGATCCCTTAATTCTTTGTCCATTGCTACTATATAGCATTATATCCAGTATTTCATCATGGGCAACCAAAGGCAGGCTATTGTCTTTCAGTGAATTGCTTCTCAGTGCAGTCCTTAGCACTAAGTACCTGAGTCATAAATGTTCCTTGTGTTTTGAACAAAGTGAGCAGATTTGCAGCACAGTGTTGTCATCCTGCAGATCTGCTAAGTGTTTTCTATTGACTCTTAAGAGTCCTGCATGTAAATCTCAAAGCTGAGCCTGGCTCCATGAGCCCAAGTTGGTATTTGTGGCACAAGAATGAGTGAGTGTATTGATTATACACAAGACACATGAATAACCTAGTACACTGAACTTCGGGTGATATATCTGAGGAATACAAGGTTTGTTTTGAAATATCTGAGGTTTAGGTCAACCAGAACATTTTTAGCATTAGGCTTGCATTTGTGGGTTTTCTGCAAGCCTCTTGGATTATACCACGTACCACATATTCTGCCAATTAGAGTATAATCTAGAAACTGTAAATCTGATGGTTGTTTTCAGAAGTCCCCATTGTCTTTTTTGTGGATGTTTCACCTTTTTTTTCCCCCTCTTTTTTTTTTTTTCTAACAGCTTAAACCACCTTTTTGAGGCTTGAGACTAATTCCACTCCCTGCCCATCTGCTTTGGGCTTTGTTTTAGGCTCATGTTTCAGATCTGCATGCAGTGCTTGCGTTACCCTGGTAACTAAATGTTGGTTCCTTGTTATAGGGGTTCAACATTACTTTCCAGAATCACATAGGGCTTGTGATGGCACAAGCCATGGATCTTTGTATAAAAGTTATTCGCCTTTCACATTTACCTGCTGTAGTATTGTTGTATATTGTGTGTGCGCGTGTGTGTGACGTCAGGCTGCCATGTAAAACTTTTTAAAATGAAAAAAAAAACCAAAACAAAAAACCCAAACAAACAAAACAACAAACTTAAATGCAGACCATCCTTTTTTGCATGCTAAGAGGGTTAGAATGTTCAGTGTAACAAACAAAAGTTGCATGTTAAAATGTTTAGGTTTTTGTTTTGTTCTGTTTTTATTTTGTGTTCAGTTTTTCGTGAATTTGCTTATTGTGCTGTTTTAGTGGTTGTTAGTAGGATTAAATGCACCGGTGAGATGAGCATAGTGCCAACGGAAGGTAATTTTCCAGTTGTATGTGTCATACAGCATTTGAAGGGACCATGTATTCTGTTAAAGAAAAAATAAAATCACAGTTGATTAGCAAAACACTACGTTTTTCTTCTTTCTTTTTGAGTGCCAAACCCCAAACTATGTTAGAGTAGACTATGGGGAAAACCGTTTTTATTGCAACAAGTAGAAGTCATCTTTAAGTGCATTATTTAAAAAGGAAGGCTTTATCCTCAGATAGAATTAACTAGTTACTTCAGGGAAAGTATTGTAAAAACAGTTTCTGGTTCCTTGAAAATGCTGTGCTTTTTGTATTTTACATCATTAGTGCAATTTGGATGGTTCTTGGTATATGTACAGTTCAAAGGTCTTCGTGTTCACATTTTAAATTAGGTAATGACTTCATCTTTAGAACTTGGTTTCGTTATTTTTATTTTATTTGAACAATGTAGACAGTTCCCTGTTCTCTGCATTTAGAAGTATAAACACCTTAAATCTGTTACTTAATTCTGTAAGTAATTTTTATAATTATGATGTAACTCTATCCTTAAAACATTTAAAATAAACCCTTTATGTGCAACTTATGACTGTAAACTTTGTTCTCATGAGCAAAATGTACTAATGTCATTTCAGATTGTGAAGAAGCAGTTTCTTCAGTTTTCTAATTAAAAAACATTTCTTACTTTAATGCTAAGCCATATATACTGGTATAGTACTTGGCCTATGAGATAATTTTGCTTGCCAAGCCAAAACTTTACTCTTCTTTTCAAATAAGTATAAATTATTGTAAGGTGGAGCTTGCTAAGGTAAAGCATACTGTTTAAATAGTGTTTTACCAAACAAAGAGAAGCTCCCCTCTAGGGGATTATGCAAGCCTGTGAAGGAGTCTCTGTTTCCAGAGCTCTCAGAATATTTCAGCAGTGGTGAAAAGCAGAAGCATTTGACATTGTTTAGGTGGTGCCTTTGTCTGCTTTCAGTGAATAGAATTCAAAATTCAATTAAGCATATTTTACTGATGATAAAAAAGCAAAGTTGATACAAGCTAGAGGTGATGAGCAGAGAAGGCAACATCACCATGCTGCAGATTTTTTAAAGTCATGTAGGTTGTTCCAGTTAATGCATGAAGACTTAGTTGGTTTGTGTTGTTAAATAACTACGGCAGTGCAGACTTTCAATACTGAACAGGTTTTCTTTATTCCTACCTCTTTTCCGATAATAAAGGGAAAAGTGTTATATGGATACCCCAAAATACATTTCTTGGCACCAAGCTCGTCAGTTGTGTACTGAAGATCTTCAAGCGTGCCAGCATTCAGTTGGGGTACATATCCATGCCTCTTCAGATCCCTTAAAACAGTGACCCGTTTATTGTCTCCTGTTGCCTGAGAGACTGGTCCTAGTGAAGATTTACATTGTGTACTTCTGCTGATTAGGGAGAGTCTACGACTTTGCTTTAGTAAGAGCATCACATCCAAAAAGCATGTGATAATCTGTGTGAATTGCTACATCAAATTGTAGTTAAAAAGAGATATGGTAACATTTTATGACTGATTTTTGAACCTGTTCTGCGTTACAGCTGATAAACCTACCTTGAATTCTGTAGCATCTTCTTTCTCTTCATAGAGAAAGGAGCCTTATAAAAGCAAAGATATTTTTGTTCACGACTACTATGGTAATGAAAATGCCCCTGAAAGCTGATTGCTTACGAGCTCATTTACAAGCAGCTCAAATCCCAATACTTTGAAGACTGTAGCCTCACATAGATACGGGAGGGAGGGAGTAGGAGTTCTAACCATTCCTTCAGCTTTAATAATACTATACACTTCTGTCACATCTGTCAGGTGCCTCATGCATGTGAACAGGTTACATTTTTGGAAAAAAAAATAGCTTCTCTGCTCAGTGAGTTACATATTTCAAAAACTAGTGATTTTTTAAATGATCATGCTGTAAGCAGCTGAGTTGCTAATGACTTCAGTGAAAGCCATTGCTTTACAGAAAGGATAAGCTTTAGTAAGGGTATTTTAAAGGAGGTTGCGCTCCTGCAATTTAGGATCATCAATGCCTAAATGGAGAAATGAGAATAGGTCAAGGAAATGACCAAGGTATGTACTTTCATTCTCAAGCACAGGATAATAAAAGATTTTAACTTTTTTTTTTCCACAGTTAAATCCATTCTTTCAATCTAAGTCTTCTTTTCAATGAGTAAATTCCCACCTTGGTGTGTTACATCACTTCTCTCTGTCACCAATACCTTACCATTTAATTCACTTCATTCCAAGGCCTGAGAAAGTTATCAGGCATTTTTTTTTTTCAGTCTCTGCTTTTCTCATTTTAATAGCTTACTGCCCTGTAAATTCCTTGATACCTCTTCCAAAATTCAGAGTGCAGAGCTGCCTATGCACAATATACAGCTGTGTATGCACAACAGAAAACTGCTGGCATCTCACCAATGTAAATAAGGTGATGTCTACTTAACACTTCCCTATTCTACTTAGATGTTAATTGCAGATTTCTGCACATTTTTTTCTGAAATCGGTTATGATTTTCATTACTACACTTGTAAACAATTTTTGTGTAAATTGTTTCATAGCCTGACAGTTAAAAAAGCTGTGCGCTCTGTCACTGGTTCCACCCATCCCACCCCTGTGCATGTAATCCTTAATTTACTTGTATTCAATGGAGTATGACTTTCACAAGTCCTTTTTGAACATTTTTATGCATTTTGGTGCCACATTCCTCAGGTCACTGCACTGTTCAAAGCTAACTTTGGTAATGAATGTAAGCATTGCACATTTATTTGTGCAAACTTAACTTTTGTTACTTCTTGATGTTCCACCCAAACCTGACATTAAGAGGCATATGTTTGTTGAAAAATTAAAATAAGCAACACAATTTTACTCTAAATGCACATTCAAGTTAAATCACAGTGGATTCATGTAAATTGCCGCTATTTTGGGAGCAGAGAGGGCTAGGGGTTTTTTTTCTCATGTTTGTATGGAAGATTGTTCTGTTGACAGCAGCTAGTTCTTTAAATATGAGAAAGGAAAGGTAAGACCCTTAGACATTTCACTCACCTGGATTTTGGGCTGATGATGGTTCTGCTGCACTGAGTAGCTACACATGGTATATACTCACACTTGAACTGGACTGCAGATCTTCACAAAGACTTTTACCACTGGGGTCATGCAGTGGGAGCACTGGTTGTTATGCTTTCCATAGAAGTTCTAATTTGATTTTACAGTACTATTTACTAATTCCTAACCCATTTTTAACATACAGAAGCAGATACCTAACTTAAACACTCATTACTTTATTTTTTAATTAATTAAATTAATCTTTTAAGCTGTAAGGACAAAATAAAACAATAGCAGAATCTATAGGGGAAGAAATCTATAAAGTTTCAAAGGTTGTACTAGAAGCGTAAAAAGGATAGTAAGTTATACAACTAACTTTTTGTTACTTTACCACATGTTGTTATGAAAAGTCGGAACTCTTGTTTTAAATCATTAATCTCAGGTTTTTTCGCTCATTCTCAGTTTTCTTGCCTTGAAAGGATATTAATTCTGCTTGATACAAAATTCTCTTATTGTTAATGGGGCTTAGTGTATTGTCTACTCAGAAGCTAGCAGATAGAAAGAATAAAATGAAAATGTGGAGCTACAGTGCAGTTTTCTGGAGGAAAAATAGAAGAGGTGGAAAAGCTAACTACTTTGATTCACAATTTCTGGTGGTAGAGGAAAAAAAAACAAATGACCCAGCATCTACTGATCATGAACTGAGTTCATTCCAGTAGAACAAAAGTAAGACTAACCAAGAGGATGCCCAAAATACATACTACACACAATGTA